CCCACCGAATGCCACTGGCTGAGTCCTCCTGGGTGATGCCTAGTGTGCTCAAAAGTCCCTGGGTGGCTTCAGTGGTGTTGGTAGAGGCAGTTTCCACACAGGGATAATGCTTCCAGAGTTGTTTCAGGTCTTAGATGAAGTAATAGGTGTAAAGGGGTTTGCAGACTTTAAAGACTTTGAAGCGTTATCTAAAGGTGAGCTGTTGTCTCTGCATCCCAGAGACCCATGGGCCCCTGTAATACAGAGGAAAGGGCATTGGGTTGGGAGTGGGGGCCCTGGATTTGAAACCCCCTGGTACAGCTTTCCTTTATGAGCTGGTATAAGTCACTGAACCCGTCATAATCTGTTTCCTTATCAGCAAGATGGAGATAATAAAGGTTTTATATTCCTATGACTTGAGACATTAGATCATCACAAAAATATGAGGAGTCCTTTCCCATTTAGTATCTAGCAACTACACTAAAGTTAACCAGGTCTTAGGAAGCTATGCAGACCTCTCTGCATAAGGAGCAGGTTGTTGATTCTAGAGAAGGAAAAAAGGGTGATTGGAGGGAAGAGGAGGGAAACAGAATGAATGGAATCACTACAAACACCTTGAGACTCTACAGATGGTAGGGGTGTTTTTGTTTGTGTTTTCTTCATTAAGAAAAGACCCTGGATCATTTAAGTCCTATGAAGTAAATTCTTCTTGCATTATTTGCTGTGTGCTTCTGGTAGGGCTTGGTCCTTGTTACTGTTCAATCTTCTCAGTCATGTCGAACTTTACATGACCCTTTTGGGGTTTTCTTGGCAGAGATGCTGGAGTGGTTTGTCATTTCCTTCTCCAACTCATTTTACAGATGAGGGAATTGTGGCAAACAGGGTGAAGTAACTTGTCCAGGGTCACACAGCTAAGTTAGTGATGAACTCGGGAAGGTGGGCCTGACCCTTTACAGCACCATCTGACTGCCCCAGGCCTTGGCCTTGATGCCCTCCAAGGTGCTTTCCAGCCTCGAGGTGCAGTTTCATCTCCTAGCTGCAGCTTACTATCCCATCATTTGTCTTAATTCTCAAGCCTGTGTCTGTACAGATCCATGCTTCTCTCTCCCCTACCAGTGACTCCTTTGTCACTGAGCCCAGCCTTGTCAGTTCTCCACAGTCTCTTGGAGACATCCCCAGGAGCCATTATTCTATTCCCTCCGTCTCCGTTCCAGGTGGATGATGTGAAGGTGGAGGGCGCATTCCCTGTCACTATGCTGCCTGGTGATGGTGTGGGGCCTGAGCTCATGCATGCTGTCAAAGAAGTTTTCAAGGTGAGAAGGCAGGGTCAGGTACAGATTCAAAGGGGCTTGAGGGACTGGCCACTGATACCTCCCACCTCTGGACCTGCAGGCAGCCAATGTCCCTGTGGAGTTTCAAGAGCATCACCTGAGTGAGGTGCAGAACATGGCCTCAGAAGAGAAACTGGAGCAGGTGCTGAGCTCCATGAAGGAAAACAAGGTTGCTATCATTGGTATGTCCTTGTCTCCGATCTCCCACTCCCCACAAACAAGTATCATTTCACATTCATGCCTGGTCCTCCAACCGGCATTGCTGCACATGACCCCTGCTCTCAGCCCTTTCCCATGGGAGCCCTACGGCTTAGAGGAGCTGTTTCAGGCCGTTTCTGAACAAAGACTTTAGTTTATTTAGGTCGCTAGAGCTTAGGACTAGAACCTCTGACCGTTTCACAGGATTTCATATTTATTTAGTCCAGCCTGCCTAGTGCAGGATGATGGGACATTAACCAGCTTTCTCGTGTGAGTTCTCATGTGGAGGGATGGGTGGACACATGATTCAGACAGATGTTGGGGGTGATCCTGTGATGCCAGCTAGAGGCCTTGCCCCCCAAGAGAACAGACCTCTGCCTGGGACCCTCACTGACCCTCACTCTGGATGTGCTCTCACAGGAAAAATTCACACCCCAATGGACACAGAGTACAAGGGGGACTTGGCCTCTTATGACATGCGGCTCAGGTACGAGGTAACAGGACCTGGGGACGTTGGGCACTGTGACACTGTGTGATGCTACCTTCCCCCCGTCTCCTGCCAGGCGTAAGCTGGACCTCTTTGCCAACGTTGTCCACGTCAAGAGCCTGCCGGGGTACAAGACACGACACAACAACCTGGACTTGGTGATCATCCGTGAGCAGACTGAGGGAGAATACAGCTCCCTGGAGCATGAGGTGGAATATGAGCGGGGAGAGGGGCACCGCAGACATCATGTCCCCATTGCACCTGGCATTAGCCTAAGTCTGCTCCTTCTGTCCATGCAGAGTGCCAGGGGTGTGATTGAATGTTTGAAGATCGTGACTCGTGCCAAGTCCCAGAGAATTGCCAAGTTCGCCTTTGATTATGCCACCAAGAAGGGCAGAGGGAAGGTCACGGCTGTGCACAAGGCCAACATTATGTGAGAAGCATGGGATGGGGGCAGAAGCGTGTGTATAGGAGGGTGGGGATTAGGCCTCGTGTGGGTAGCTGAGCCTGGTAAGCTTGCTGACCTCAGTCCCTGGCCACCTCTACAGGAAGCTGGGTGATGGCCTCTTCCTGCAATGCTGTGAGGAGGTGGCTGAGCTGTACCCCAAGATCAAGTTTGAGACCATGATCATAGACAACTGTTGTATGCAGGTACAGTGTCCCTGGCCTTCCCCTCCCTGATTTCACACTCCCGCCTCCCCTGTGTCCCTTGTCTCTTTGCCATGCCAGCCATCCACTATCTCTCTTACCTCCCTTCCTTTTTACCCCAGCTGGTGCAGAATCCGTACCAGTTTGATGTGCTTGTGATGCCCAATCTCTATGGAAACATCATTGACAACCTAGCGGCCGGTCTGGTTGGGGGTGCAGGTGTGGTTCCTGGTGAGAGCTACAGTGCTGAATACGCCGTTTTTGAAACAGTGAGTAAAACCTGTGGGGCCCCCTTTTCTTACCACTGATCACTCTGGGGTCCCCGAGCACCAGAGTATCCTTCTGACTTGGCCTTCACCCCCACAGGGCGCAAGGCACCCGTTTGCCCAGGCTGTGGGCAGGAACATTGCCAACCCAACTGCCATGCTGCTGTCTTCTAGCAATATGCTGAGGCACCTCAAGTATGTCAGTGGGTGTGGGGCCTCAGGGCTGTGTGGGGCACAGGGGAGTGTGTGTGTTAGAAACGTGAAAACTGACTGCTGACTGAGCAAGAGGTGGAAGGTGGGAGGCTGGTTACTGCCCTCACTCAGTTTGCTGTCTTTCCTCCTGTGACAGCCTGGAACATCACTCCAACATGATTGCTGAGGCTGTGAAGAAGGTGATAAAAGTTGGCAAAGTAAGTTTGGATTGGCTGTTTCTGCACCCTCTTCAGTCATCACCCCTCTCCGCCCAGAAGGGGCTTCAGGGGGGCCAAGACATTGCTCTCCTGACCCCATTCTGGCTCCCTAGCTCTCGGCCTCTCGCCTCACCCTACCCCACTGCACCCTCGACCCAGCAACTCCCTGGCTTCACCCCTGGTTACCCTTTGCTGCTGCTCTCATCTCCCCTCCGGCTGCTGCTCTCTTGTACTGTTCTTGCTCCCATGTTCACATCTCTTGCTCTCTCCCACCTGAGGTGGGCTTTGAGGATCATATGAAATGAACTGACTTTGCACACCTTAAAGAGGCTCAGAAGTGCAGCCTGTTCTCTCTGGACCATGCCTCACCCATCTTCCATCTTCTTGGCACTTCCTCATCTCTGTTCCCCAGCCCTCCAATCCCTCCATCGTCATTCTCCCTTCTCTTGCCCACCCTCCCCACTCACTAGCCATCTTTTCCCTTCTTGTTCCTGGTGGCTTTGTCACTGGCTGTAGGTTCGGACTCGGGACATGGGCGGCTACAGCACCACGTCTGACTTCATCAAGTCTGTCATCAGCCACCTGCACCCCCCTCATGGGGGCTAGAATCTTCCCATTTCTTTATCCACAAACACCCCTTTGAATAGAGGATAAGTCCCCACTCCAGCCCCCACCCCTTGCTTCAATAAAGTGGACCACGTGGAGGAGCCTGCCTCTGCCCCCATTCCATTCCATGGGATGAGATCTCTTATCTACAGCTATTTTGTGCTTTTGTCTCAATAAAGAGTCAGGATCCTTTGTGCTAATCCTGGCCCCCATCAGCTTCTCTCTAATCCACAAGGAGTATGAGGGGGAATTTATTCATTGGGACCATTCTTTATTACATTCAGAAAAGGCTCTTTTGGGGTCCTGGGTTAAATTATTACCCCCCTTTTCCCTCACAGGTTCGTACCCCGGACATGGGCGGCTATGCCACCTGCCGGGATCTCACCCAGGCCATCATTAGTAACCTGCCTACTATCTCACAAGCCTCCTGACAAATCTGGAAGAAATAAAAGCCAAGGTAGCATTCTGCTGAGTTCATTGTCTTTATTGGGTTTGAGGGCAGGGAGGGGAAGTCTTGGGTGTTGAGTGCTAGACCCTTCCCCAATCCTAGTCCTCTGTCCCAGAGCTCTTCTGGGCTTTCTTCTTTTTTTTCTTCACTGGAGCTGGTGAGTCTGCTACTCCATCCTCTTCTGAGCATAAGAGTTTTTTCTTTTTCTTGGGCTTAGGAGGTGTGGACAGCTCCTCAGGGGCTTCTTCTGTTTCCTCTGTCGCCTCCACCTGCCGTTTTCTTTTCTTTTTTGGCTTTTCTTCCCCATTCGCAGTTTCCTAAGAGCACAAGAAAGCCAAATATGTGGGGATAGGAAAGAAGCCTGATGGTTAGGGTCCCCTGGTGGTCAGGATATCCTGGGCCCCCTCCTGTCCATTCCACACACTGACCTGTCCGTTCTCAGGAATGCTGTTTTCTTCAGCTGCCAAAGCCTCTAAGCGTTTCTTCTCTTTCTTCAGTCGTTTCTTTTCCTTCTTTGCCTGTTTCCTCCTAATCTCTGCAACCATTTCCCCAGCCTGGCCAGAGAAGGACAGACACCTTTTGCTAGTGACCAGAACCCCCAAGCACTAAACATAAATTTGCCATGCTGGATCAGGCTCATTAAATCAGTTTTTGCCTCCACTCTAGAGTCAGGGTAAGGATGCTCATCACCTCCAACAGGCATAAATTAAATAGGTTATGCCCTCCCTCTCCCCCCCCCTTAGACTGACCTCATTCACTGCCTCCTTCATGACATCTAGATTCTTGCGGGGTGGGTCCCCTGTCTCATAGAATGACAGGCGTTCTTCTACTTGTTCCCGTAGCTTCTGTCCAAACACATTTGTGGGGACCTCTGGAAACAAGATTGTTAAGACACTGTGTTGGGGTGGGGCTGAGGTCCCCCCCCTTCACTAGGCACATTCTACAACTCCCAACCTCAACCCTCAGCTTCGCTCAGACTATTGATTCAACACTCACAAGGTGAACTGCTGTTGACGAAAAATTTTCCCATCATTGCAGAAGCCACTTGGGATCATTTTTCTTGAATACCCTATTCCCCCTTCCCCTTAGCCCTGAGTCCTGTACCAGAAAAGCAGTCGATCCGGGATGCAATGCTGCATTTGTTTGCCAGGTATCGGGAGATTCTGCCTTTATTCTTGGCAGCCGCACGGCCAATGAAGGTTGAATGGAATATGAGTCCATATTTGGGGGTATTTCCCCGAGTCTTCAGGGCTCTATGGAAGTGTACAGGGTTAGCTTCCCAGGGATACAAGTTTAGGGTCAGACTCCCAAACCCCCAGGACCCTTTTAACCAAAGGTCTCTCCCACTTCAATTCCAAAACCTGATTCCCCACCCCAGCCCAGAACTCCCATTAAGGGTCAGGAGTCAGATGTCGCTGACCTGGAGGCTGCATCCCCTGGCTGGGGCCATGGGGGTCACTCAGAGGCTGGGGCTGACCCATCACACTCGAGGCAAAGCCTTCGGGTCAGGGTACCCCAGCGCTGCCATCACAGTGACACACCCCCTAGCAGCTGGCACCAGAGTGTCAGTACCTGAACATTGGTACCTGAACAGTGCCTTCTCAGCCCCCAAGATCTGCACTGTGGATGCTGGGTACTTGGCCAGATTGGTAAGGCTCCCAGCATGGGAGATCAGTCGAGCACCAACCTGAGAGGAATAAAAAAAAAAAAAAAAGGTTGTGGGCCTGATCACTCCTGACCCAACCAAACCCAAGGAAAAAATGGTCAGCTGGTTAGAGATAAAGAAGTTACAATAAAGTAAGGCAATAGACCCCCCCCCAACACACACCCCAATGACTGACCGCCTCCCCAATGAGGGCTGACAGGCTGGGGGCCACCTGGAACATCTTGGAGCTCAGGTATTTGCTCAAACTCTGACGATACTCAGATAAAGATACCACTCGACTGGAAAAACTCTCAATATTGATCAGGTCAATGGGAGAGATGTCCATACCTAGGAAAAACAGGGAGGCAAGTCAGTGCAAAAACAGAATACCCTCTTCCTTCCCCAACTGTCCCACAAACACCTCAAGCAGAAACACTGACCCATGGAAGACCGAGATGCATCCAGGATGGCCCTTGCCTTGGCCTCATCCATTGTCAGCTCCTGCAGAGCTTCTAGTTTCTCCTCATTCAGTTCTTTGCGATTGCCAATTAGCCGGGCCAGGCGACAATATGTGGCATTGTCATTAACAATCTTTACCAACTCAGGAAAGTGATAGCCATACCACTCCCTGAAAAAGAGGTTATCTTAAGCAGAAAGAAAAGCTGGTGGTCCAGTGGAGAAAATCACACCTTGCCCACTGCACTGCTTATCCCCACAACCTCAAACTCAATCCTCCAGGATTCCTAAGTCTTTATTGTCTCCCCTTTCACAATACAGCTAGGGCACAGGCAGGCTCCTGGCTGAGGTGTATAAGAGGAAGGTCTCTCTGCCTCCTTTTTCTATGCAGTCTGTGCAAAGAAAAAACACAGCCTGTGGTAAGCAATAGGAGGTGGAAGAGCTGGAGTGACATCCTAAAATCCAGCTCCTGCCTAAACATCTGCCCCATCAACCCTGGAACTGACCTGACCCGCATAGAGAAGGTATTGATGTCTTTGTCTAGCTGGTCAAGAAGGCTGATGGACTGAATGATCATGTTGTCCACCCTATTCACATTGAACTTGACCTTGGCCCGAGAGTAGCTGTGTCCTAGTCCCAGCTGGGCTTTAGAAGCTGAAACCTCAGTCAGACCCTTCACCAGAGAGTGAAAGTGCAGACGAACTCCTGGGAAAAAAACAGGTAGAATGAGAAACTGCCAACAAGCAGAACCCTTTTAATGTCCTTCAGAGCACAGGACCTGAATGGGAATCTTTCTACCTGTGTAGTCTAGTACCCAATCAACTATGAAGGCCCAGCTCTCACACATGGCTTCCATGTAGTTCACCTGGAATCTTACCTCTGAGGATTTCAGCAACTACACCCCCTGTCTGGCAGGGATAACCTAATTCTTCTTGGATAGCAGCCCCAATCTTAGGGTCCCCAACACCAAGCATAGCTTTCTTCTTCTTAGCTGGCATGTTAGTTTCCAAGAAAAGTCGGAGGTCCTCATGGAGAATGCCTGTGGATATGTGCATAGATTACCTTTTCAAATTAGGAAGGCACAGGTGACACCTAAAAGACCACAGGAAATAGGAGGAAAGAACTACTCACCTTCAGATACTGCATTAGCATTCTCTAGAGCACTGTGGGCAGACTTAAATGGGGAAAAGGCCACAAGACGGACGATACTGTGAAACTTTCCAATGTTCAGCACACATTCTTCCACCTGTGGAGAAAAAGAGCATCTAGGGACAGCATATTTGGGAGGGGAGATACTAAATGCCACTTTGCTAACACAGGATCTGGGAAAGATGGCTCAGTTTCCATGCTTTCTTCCCTTTCCGGTCCCAAGAACTGCAAACAAAGGGTACTCCGACTAGGACTACAGATCTAAGAGTGGAGGTGGGAGCACGTGGCCTTCCCTTGACCTTCTTTTCTGTACCACCCCCACCCCTCCCTCCAGTACCCAAGACAGACGCCGTGCTCAGAGACTAAGTCACATCACTCTGGTCAGGGGATTGACAGATTTTAAGACTCATCACAGCGCTGTGGCGGTTGCCCCGGGGGGAGGGACCCCGACCCCATCGCGTCCCGTCCCGTCCCGTCCCCTCTTGCTGGGCTCACCTGGGGCAGCAGCAGGCTTATCTCCTCCACCTCCTTCAGCGCCAGTAGCGCGTAGCCAGCGGCGTGCTCAAACAGCACGTGCAGCAGCACCTAGAAGAGAGAGGAGAAATAAATGGGGTTCACGAAGCCGACTAACCCCATCCGAGCACGTGGCCCACCTCCCCGCCTAACTGCACACGTCCCTGCCCAGCTCCCAAAGGCCGATCCCCGAAACCTCTCCAGGAGATCCCAGGACGCCATACCCCGCTAGGGCTGCGATGCCCCCTACCCGGCCCTGCCCGCTCGGGAGCGCCCAGGCTGGACCCACAGGAGGGCCGAATACACGCGGCCCGTGGTTCGGCGGTTTCTTTGCCTCTACCAGGCCGCTCCCCTCCTTGCGACCGCTGGCGCCCACCTCCAACCTAGGTGGAGCTTAGCTCAACCGGCGCTTGCTCCCTCCATTCCCCCAGCTTCACGGAAGGGAGACCCCCCCCCCAACCCCATGGCCCGTGGCTCGCGGCCCGCAGCACGCTCACCATGGCTGCAGCCTGGAGCCCCAATCGCAATGCGGGCCTCCCGCCGGACACGCAGGAACTCTAGTGCCATTAGCCCCGCCTCTTCCGGATCGAACTCTCCACTCAGAACCCGAGGAATGCACCATTGCCTAAGGAGACCAAGGGGGAAACTGAAGAAAATGGTCTCGGCCGGAAGTAAGGAGGGGCCACCGCGGCCTCCGCGTGCGAGCTGCTTCCCGCCTTTCCAGCGGCACTGATGGCTGATGGGAATGGGGCGGAGCTCCTGGGGACCACCGGACCCTAGGGGAGCGTGTGAGGTCTGTCTAATATATATATTGGAAAATGAGATAATTGATGGGAATCACTTCCGCCTACGGGAAAGGTCGATGGCCATGCACGCAGGCCCACCCGTAGCGATCCTTTGCCGCGGGAAGGAGAAAGGAGAGGAGGAAGGGGGTGAGGGTAGAATCCATCCAGTGCTGGGGGGTGGGGGAAAACTAACTCCAGTTCTCGCGATGATCCTGTTGGCGCGCGCGGCCTGTCTCCTTTCTCCCTCGCGCGTCTTACGGATTACCGGCCTGCTTCCGTTTCCGGTCGCATATTCCCTTCCCCCCCCCGCCTCCTCCCCTAGGTCACCTTTTGCCCCGTACTGACGTGCAGTCGTGCTTCTTGAGAAAATGTCCTCCCGTGACCGTTATCCGAAGACTGTTAAAATGTTGTCCTGGCCTTGTCTCGGGGAGAAGCTCGGGAAGCTGTGAAAAGCCCGGCCCAGGCCCGCGTCCTGCCTTGCCTTCAGTCCCGGGCCCAGCTCAGGGAGCCGTGCTCGGTGTGTGCGGGACACGTAGCGGCAGGCCCGCCCTAGGGACTGTCCAGCTTCCCGGAGCCGGATGTTCCGTATAGACTTGGCAGGGCTGAGGGACTCTGGGACACCCATGGCAGGGCTGAACCCTTTCCCATCGACCCATCGATAAGCATTTATTGAGTGCCTACTATGCCAGGCCACGTGATGCCTACACAAAGACTAGATGGAAACAGCCCCTGCTTTCAAGAAACTTACCTAAAGAAAAAGCAGTATATACACACCTATTTGTATCTAATGGTAGCCATCTCTAGGACGGGGAGGGTGGGTTAGGAGTGCTAGGAACCCCGAAGATGTCAGGGTACAGGGTGGAGTTGTGTAGAATAAATTCAGGCACTTAAGCCATCCTCCAGTCAAGTGGCAAGGTTTATTCTGAGGTTTATAGAAGCAGGCAAAGTACTTCTGGGGAACTTGCAACCTGGTAGTAGTGATGCTATAGCTTATATGGAAAAAGTGCTAGTGAAAGGAATGCCAAGCACGATCCAAGTAGTGCAGGTGCAGGGCTGCTGGAATGTATGGGAAAATTCAGGGAGTCAACGGAGATAGCTTTGTTGAAGGGACAAGATAGAAAGATTGCCAGAGCATGGTCCTTGGGGA